AACAACGTCCGGGTTGAGGAGGATTGAGGACTGAGGAGCAGTCAGTTAAGGGAACTGGGGCTACTCTCTCAATGATGCCACCACGTTTGTGTTGTATAACAACCTTTGCTTAGCCTCATGCCACTGGGGGGTGCTTAGTCATAGAGAGCCCAAAGCCATCCACCCATTACCACTTCTCCTGTGTGGAGGGTCTGAGGAGGGGGCTGTAGCCTGGAGAGCTCAAGTGAAAGCAGAATTTCCAGGTTCTGCTGCACAAGTTCAAGGTAATATTGGCATTTGTCACAGTGTTAACAATAGAAATTCAGCCTTGGATTATACAGAAACCTTTACTCAACAGTTTGTGATGTTTCACTCCATAGGTCCAGAAAGGAGCGAGATTTATTAAGATCTAATATCAGTGTCTGTTCAGCATTTAGTTTTTAGTGGCCTTTGACAAACACCATTCACATATTTCCAAAGACAGTCGCATGATAAGTGTTAAAGTCCGTGAGTCGCGTGTCGGGTTAGTTCGGATATGTCTGTAACAACAGCAGAGCAGCCAGGACTCGGGCAGCACAGTCTGCATCTAGAAAGTGGTATTACTGCCACAATCACCCAGTCAGTTTGTCTTTAGTTAATGCTGCCAGAAGAGATGACTGACCCGCACAGACTCATGCACAGTCACAGGGATTACCTCCAAAATCGGCCGGTACCTCAGCTCCAAAGGAAACACAAGTGGAGCTGCAACAAAAGCAAAGGGTTAAACATATCATAGTTCAGAGCCTTTTTAAATGTGGTTCCTTTAAAAATCTGAAAATGCAGCTCTTGGTTCATGTTCTAGTGAAAATGCTCCATTTTGGCTTCAGACAGGGCTCAAACTGGGAGGAAAGCAGCTGCTCAGAGCCTGATGTGGCTCACATTAGGGAGTGGAAATGGTACGATGATGCACTTTAGGGAGGTAAGATATCGTATTGATGCTTCTTCAGGGCCTGAACGTGTCAACAGGGACACAGTTCACCTCAAATCAGTCCGTGGAGAGGGCTGAAGGCGTACCGGTCACCGGCAGTTTGGGAGAAGTGTGGTACTCAACAAAAAGTCCCAGTATGGCAAAGTGCTGGTACTCTGCCCCTGTCTGTACAGGTGTGTACAGCTGTGTGCAGGTGTATACCGGCCCACTTACTCAACCTGTACATCTTCTCAGTGTTTCCTGTTGATACACGTGTATTAATTAATCATGAAGATACTTGTTTTGTTTTTGTTTTTGGCCTGAAATAACTTATCAAAACTGAAAATATAACATGACTGAACACAAGTAATTTAAACTTCATCTTGTGTAATTATGGAAAAATAAAACCAAATTAAGAAACACAGGACACAACAGTCAAACATCCTCCGTGTGATCATGTCAGTGTTGTAATGGAAGATTCAGTCACATCATCATCATCCTCATCGTCATCTGGGTAAAACAAACCAATTGTCAGAACAGTGAGTTAGTTTGGAGTGAAAATCTCAGAACCATGCGCTGAAAACACTCACGTTTGACCTTCCACATGTTGTCGGTGTGATGGCAGACACGGACGCCGTCAGTTCAACAAAAGATCTAAGAATAGCTGTGTTGGTCGTGAGCAGCGCGTTGTGCAGCCTGCAGGAGTCCAGTTACAGTCCAAACAATGTCTTTTTATAACCGCACACTGCTGCTAGGTCTGTGCTGCTGTGGGCGTCCACGTGAGAGACGGTTCATGGTCTCGTCTGCCAGCAGAGAATGAACTACATCATATGTTTGAGAGACAACGAGCCATGTTAGTGTATGGATTGTACTCCTCATTCAGACTTTTTGGTTCCTTCTCCCAACTCTTCTGTTTTGCACCGACTTTAATCTGCTTGAACGTTCACACATGGTACCGTAAGGTTCTGTAGTGTCCAGCCTGTTTGGAAGAGGAGGTGTTACTCGATGCCCCATTTAGGAAATGCTCATATTTTATAACTACATGGCAACAAAAATCCTCCTCAAAACATTTATGTCCAACTCATCACATAATACAAAAAAACAGGAGTAAAAAGATCTCTGAAAACCTTGGATATGTAATGAGGATGGACAGAAACGGGAAACTGCACCGTTCTGAGACACTGGGTCTATCCCACGTTTCTTAGAAGCACCAGAGTTTCCCTCACTTGAGTCTTTTCCTTGTGCCTTAGTCCTGCCCATGTTAAGATGCGAGGAAACACATTAAAAGACACGAGGTGCCCTTTGCTCTGGTCTTCCATCTGAAGTGTCCAGTGAACAACTGATGTCCAACAAAGGAAACGTGTCACTGTGAATTATATTGGACTCTCAGTTAACAAAGCAACAAACAAACCCATCAGTTGTGTTAGATGCTGAACTGGTGCTGCGTTGTGTCTTGTTTCTCCATCAGAGGACTGTGAAGTCTGGACCCAGACACACAAACACTATCAGACAGAAACCTTGGACTGTCTTGATGACAACCAGAGGGTGATGGTAGAGGGCAACAGAGAGGGCGAGCCAGATCCTCATAAACTATGGAGCTTTTAAAGCAGGAAAGAGCTGCTGTGTAAATGTGACCTGACCAGTCGCTGTTAATGGAAGGTTGAGTAGGAAGGAATGGTTGATATTGGAGTGACATACTGTGGAACCAGGAGAGGCTGCTGAGGACACATGTCAAGTTCTGGCAGAGTTCTGGACGCGGTCCTGCTCTGATGACAGTTACTCCCTCAGTTACACAGACGATGCAACAGCACCGCCTCTCACAGAGTAGCAGTGTATGTGGACTGGCCTGATGGCCGTCTGTCCTTCTACAGCATCTCCTCTGACAAACTGGTCCACCTTCAACACCACAACACCACATTCACTGAACCGGGGGCTTGTCAGTGACCCAGTCACCTGCTCATGCATAGATTGATCCTGATGCTGGTTCACCCTCAGCATCCTGCCCTTGTCCACGCAATTACAGCTCACACTGCAGTTTTTGTGTAAGCGGATCTTTAAACTGCTCGTCAGCGGTTAGTTTCAACCAGCTGATGTATTATTTTTGTGTATGAGATAGGTACGTTTGTGAATATTAGCTTTTGTACAGAAACAGTCGGTAACTTTAGTTTTAGTACTGTCAGCTTCCATTTATCACTGTTAGGTTATTTCTTAGTTAGATAGATATGGATTAGAGATCTGTTGTCTAGAAATGTTTAGTGCAGACAGGGTGACTAGCTTTGCTGTAACTATTCAGCCTGCAGTGAGGACTGCAGGCACGCCAAGGTTACAGGAAAAGAGCTGTTAGGGTCAACTGTATTTCACTGTGGAACAGACTTTTTGGTTCCTTCTCTCAACTCTTCTGCTTTGCACCAACTTTAATTTGCTTGAACGTTCACACATGGTACCGTAAGGTTCTGTAGTGTCCAGCCTGTTTGGAAGAGGAGGTGTTACTCGATGTCCCATTTAGGAAATACTCCAGCTGATGTATTATTTTTGTGTCTGAGATAGGTGACACAGAGGCCTACGTTTGTGAATATCAGCTTTTGTACAGAAACAGTCGGTAACTTTAGTTTTAGTACTGTCAGCTTCCATTTATCACAAAACTTTGCAGTTCAGTTTTCAAAATAAGGCAGAACCACGTCCTGGGTTCATGTGCTTGTGACAGTCAAAACTATGAAATGTACCTTTATGACATACTGTTACATGTAACTGCATCATGTTATTAAATTATAAAATAAATGTAACTGTAATGGATTACAGTTACTAAGAATACAATAAATTACAGCTACACAATGAAATGCCACTGAATACAAAGGGGGTATATCTGAAAAGCTTTGGTAAAAAACCTATCTGTGCTCTGCGGCACCTTCCTTCACTGTTGAGGCTGGTTTAGATTGTTTTTAGGACTTTTCTGCTTTGTTGACCAACGTAAAGTATTACAAAAGTAATGCGTTACATTACTTTGAAGAAGTAATTTAAATTGGTTAAATTAGTTGTGGCGCTTTAACGAGGTAACAAGTTCACATGAAGGAACCACGTGTCCCCTCAACCCAGGACGGGAGCTGAGGGCAGCCAAGTATCCCAGAATGCACTGCGAGCCAGCTGTGGTCTGTTGCTCGTGTCCGCCCTGGGCCTGTTATTTTGCCACTTTATTAAGTTTCGATATTTTCAGACTATAACGGTTTAGAGAGATAATACGTGGTCAGTCTAAACAAGATTACCGTATTCGGGAAGGTTGGTGTTATAACTTGTCAAGTACCGCGTCCGAACTATTCTCGAGCTCAATTCAAAGGTGACGTCGGTTCAGTGGGCGTGGCTGTGACTTGCTGGGAAACGTGGGCGTTTCCGCTGGACTTGACTTAACGGGGATCGAAAGTGTTGACTTTATGTGCTGAAAGACAAATGTTGGCAGCGGGTTAATGAGACTAAGTCAAGTATGGAAACACAGGATCTGTGATATAAAATAGTTTTGTTGTGTCAGCACCGCGTTTTATTGATCTTCTGTGTGGTCTTCATCCGGGTTCTGAAGTCGGGACAGCTGGGTGGAGAAGTGCGGATGGCAGAGGGGTTTATGACTGGCCCGGATGACCAAAGCCGTGAGGACAACCACGATGTTCGTCCGACGTGTACGTAATATAAACAGTGAAGTGGTTTCTCTGCTGTGATGCTGCTAAAGATGTTGGGTGGTCATATCACCAATGGTCTTATCAATCATCAATCATCAATCACCTACTAAATCACTGTGTTTTGATTGTCAACAGGCAGCTCAGTCTCCAGAAGCCTCCAGTTCATCTGATGTTGAGGTTTAATTAGCTACTAACATCAATTTGATCCATTTAATGTCAGACTGATAAAGTCTTAACACAGTCCCTGTGTGTAAAGGGTTGAAGTGCACGTTAAAATGAAGTAAACCTTTTGTTTGTAAGAGAGGCCGGTACCATTTGGATAGAAATATGTATTGAACGTGTGTTTACTTTTTTCACTGACAGATGAAAATAAATAGACTGTACCAGTCAAAGCTTAGTGGCACGGGGCAAGATGAGGAAGAAAGAAAGAAGATGATGAGGATGAGCGAGGAAGACGAGGTACTGCCCACTGATCAGTATTATGTCCCTGTTGAAGACCAACAAAAACTCAAAAATAGAAATGAGTTCTTCTTAAAAGAAAACGATTAACACAGCAGTGCTCATGACAGACAAAGCACAACAGCTGATTGACACGGTGCTAAAAAAGGGAAATCTGGCCTGTAACATTCTGTGAAGCGGATCTTTATGTTTCTGCATTTCAAGCTAACTTAAAATAAGAAAGGTGTCACGACTGGTCCCTGACTTCCTGCTCTGGGCTTTTATTTTGCCACTTTGACCTGCTTTTCCTTGCAGTCAGTCCCAGATTGTAGTGTCGCCCTGGGCCGTGCCCTCCGGCTGCTCCCTGCACCCTGAACCTGCGCCTGAGGCTTCCTCACCTGGTTTCTGCCACTCACCGCACTTTGCCTTGACCCTCACCAGAGTTACTTTACTGTTTGTCCAAACAGGATTTGGGATTTGCATCCATAGTTTTGAACTGTGTTTGGGTTTGAATGAGAAAATCTTGATTATTCTCCAGGGCCATTTTGGTTTGCACCCATAGTATCACAATCAACACACATCAACAGACTTAAGAACAATCAACTTAGTGTCGTCATCAGGGGAAGTGCAGTAAAATAGAAAACAAGTCCATCATCCCATTATCTATATAAAATAAGACGGTTGCAACCATATCTATAATATATCCAACAAACCAGCAGCTGATGGAACAAATGATCTCAGCTATGTTTCATGTGGCCCTCTTAGGACGAGTGAACCTCCTACCTGATGGAAGATGTTGACGCTCCTCATGAAGAGGGTGGAGACAGCTTGTGCACGATAAACATGACGAAGATCACTTAACTTAATGCCAGTGATCTTTTGACAAAGGTTAATGTTTCCCAACCTTTTCCTCTTAGTCAAGTCAAGATTACAAAAGTTAAAACTGACTCTCCATCCGTTATCTATACATCTTAGTCTAGACAGGGCCCCGGGGGGGGGGTTGGGGCGATTCCCAGCTGACACTGGCTGGGGGGGCGGGGTGCACCCTGGCTCTATCCTGGGTCTGACTCAATGAAAGATGGCTAAAATGTTTTTAACAGCAGTCTGTCAACATTACAAGACCGACTTCCTTAAGAAGGATGACCATCTGAATTGTGTCATCTCACACAGTTCCCAGATACCCCGATTGGCCCACCGGTTCATACAGTTAACATAAAGCTTGACCCCAGTACCTTATTCTGCGCAACAGGAGCCAGACGGTTAGTTGCTGTTCGGTGGACGCGCGTTGGGTGTCGCTGTGACTCTTCCCTGCGTACTGGTGACTCGCTGTCGTCAGAGTGTTGGACGCCAGAAGAGAGGGCTTTGGCGCCAAACACATCACTGCCAGGAGCCGTTTGGATGTCTTCTTCCTGCTGGGTGACTCTAAGACACTAGGGGCTAAAGTAATGGCACTGGAATCGGCTGTAGGTCGTCGCACGGCGCTGAGGGATGTGCGACACTACGCCGTTTAATAGATACAGATGTGTGCGCGCGCCTCTTAGTAGCGCGCCGTGTCGGGCTTCTGCGGAAGCCCCCAAACTTACCTGAAGTGGGACTGGAACGAGCTTTTTACTCCACATAGAGCCTCTTCATGAAACTTTGTTATTAGGCCGCGGATAGTGATGTTGATGAGGCTTTGTTGAAGCTTCTACACAGTATTCACACAAATGGTTCATTAGTCGAGGCCTCAATGACACAGTGCTCCAGTAGGACATCTAGTGGTCATGAAAATGAAGTGCAGTCAAGACGTGTCACTTATTGGTTCATGGACTGTTTGGGATTTGATTCTCCATGCACGTTCCTGTTCCACTACACTACATGGTTGTATGGTTTCAAGCTGACACAATAAAATATAAAATAAACATGGACTCATGTTGAAGACCATGCGTCTTATGTGGCACGTCTGACTGTAACCCTATATGCTCCTCACTTATATTTAGTGTTATGAAAACATTTAAATGGTGCTGCTACATTCATCAGATGTGCTCTACAAATTCAGACAGATGTCATTTTCACATGGGACTGGTGTAAATACAGATTCTAGTATGAACCTAGGCAAGGTGTGTTTTGGGGTTCATGGGTATGTGGGTAAAGAGGGTGTGCTTGTGTAACTGTTTGAGTTTTTATTGAGAAATAACAGTAAATCCACAGTTTTCAGACACAAGTGGTTTCTCCTTTTACAGACTATTTCCCCAGCGTTGGAAAAAACCCGAGATGAGGCCGGGGTACACAGGAAATGCTTGGATAATTCATAGAGGTTTGGGTAACTATATATGTAATATATCTATATATACTGTATTATATATA